TTTAAAATTTGAGTCATGTCCCAGACATTTTTTCCGTTGCGTTACGTCCGTCGCGGTACCGATAGAATATTTAAAAAAATATATATATGGCAACTTTTTTGGCACTCACTACCTTATGGTAACACAATAGAATTTAGGGTAACGCAATAGAATTTTTCGACAACAAAGTGGATATTTTTCGTCTCTTTTATTAAAAGTAGTTTATGATAAACCAATTTAAAATTATTTGTGATTACAACTCATGATATAGATTACATCCAAGTAAAAATTCCACGCAATTTAAAAGTACTAAAAGGGACCTTCACCAGCTTATAGTCAAAGAAAAAGGGTGTCTACAATTTAGAAATCTAAGTTGTTATTCTGCAAGTGAGCACCACTACAAGGGATTTTGTTTATGCATTACTCTAAAATCGTACCACCCTTTATAGTTTCTTTTTTACGTTATCTGATTAAGTCCTTTGTGTACCCCAGTCCGTTGTGATACCAATGTCTATTTCGTTACTTTTTTGTTAACAAAATACTTAAAATTATTTTTATACACTATCACTTGGTAATACGTATTTATAAATTAGAGTTTAACTAACTGATACAGTGAATAAAAGAAAATATTAATGGTATTGTTTTTTTAACAAAGAATCGGAATGTTTTTTTTTTAAAGTAACTTAACGAACATATATATTTAAAAAAAGCATACAATTTTTAATAAAAAATAAAATAAAAAATTGAAGTCAAAAGTTTGTGAACTAAGTACATTTTATTTCAAATTATTTTTACAACAACTTTTTTATTGAATTAAATTTTGGATTTCAAATTGGTAACACGGTGGAGATATATAAAGCCAGCTAAACAAATTTTTCTGAAAAAAAAACGTAAAAAAAAATTAAAAAGTGCACTGCCTGTTTTAAATGTAAGTAAACAAAACTCTAAACATTTATAAAAATCCAACCAAAAGTCAATTTAAGCAAAAAAAATTTGGTCTTCATTTTTCTGAAAGCGGGTGTTTCTTGAAAATGACCCAAGTATTTAATATATTTTCTGTATTTAAAAAATGTCCATTAAAAAAAATGAGTTTAAGAAATTTGCCTTTTAAAAACGTTTTTTCTCAATTTTTTAAATGGGCCCAGCTTGTCCAATTTATATTTTTTTGTAATAAAATTTCTTAGGGTAAGGTGCTTTTTTATTAATAATAGTATAGACCTAACGTAGAATTTTCCAGTTCTAAACATACTTACGAACGATTTTGGTTTCCTAAAATAAAACTCCTTTTAAAGCAGTTTTTTGTCGAAATCCCTCGAAAAAGCTTAAAGCCTTTTGTAAAATGGGATTATTGATTACATAGGAAAGTTTTTATGGTCTTGTGGGAAGGAGTTTTAGGAAGTTGTAATCTCTTTCCGGGCATTATAAGTCAGTATCACTTAAGCAGCCTTCTCTCCACTTCATTCCACATTTACAAATCTATTTTCAATCTTCTTTATGTGTTTTTTTAAATTAAAATATAGTCTTAAAGATTCAACAAAACAAATGTTTCTAATATAGTTTTTTTTCAAATTTAACATAAATTAACATTAACATTAATTTAAATACAATAGTGGTTTTTCTGCATTTTCAGATATCGGAACTTTGATTAATTTTTAAAATAATGACATAACTGTAAGACCCAAGACAACAAAATAATGGTGAAGTTTCGTTCAATTTAAATCGTATTTTGAAATTAATGCTTCATCAAACAAAATAAATGAATCCCGATTAAATGGCGCCTGTCAATCAACTACGTAATTTAACTATGATTTCGCGAAAGAATCGAACGATCGATTTACAACACATCTCAGATTTTTTTTAAATTTTAATATTTTGTTTATACATCCAATTTAACACTAAATCTAAAATTTTTCTTTCATCTGACTTAAACTTTAGCTCCTAGAAACCATTTAATTTTGCCTTTCACAAAAAGGCTGACCCCTATTAGTACATACAATTCTGTCAAAAAAAAGTTGTAATTTTTTACATACAGGTGGCGCTGCAATTTTTTTTTCTTCGAAAGTAGACGTTTTTTGAGGACAAAAAATTCTCTTAAGCAACAATGCTCAAAAAAACTAAATAGCGTACCAGATAATATAGATATTCCTTTATAATTCGACATATAAAAATTTACTTGCAAATGATGTTGCCGCCCGTAAAGCCAACTTAAAGTTTGGTCTACCGCATTAAAAAAAATTGAATTACACTTTCAACTCTATCCTTATTTTTAAACTAAGGAACTCCAGGTGATGGCTTTTATTGGTAACTAAAACGCAACAAAAAAAAAGTTTTATTTTTTTATATACAGGGGGCGCTGCAGCCTTTTTTTCAAAAATAGACGTTTATAAAGACCATAAAGTTACTTAAGCAACATTGCTTAAAAACTAATGACATTATTTATAATGTATCAGATAATATAGATATTCTTTTATTGTTTGACAAATTTATTTGCAATAATTAATGCCTGTTGTAGGGACGATTAAAATTATAACTAGTGCACGTACCCGCATATTGTTATATAAACGCCTTTTTTCGCTTTTATTGTTGTATGCGGACAAAAGGTAACAAAATCAAAAAATTTTTAATTACAAATGGTAACAAGTATTTCAGTGACTCTATAGTAATAGTAATAGTAATATGACCATTTGTTTAAATATATTTTAGTATATTTCGAGAGGCAAAGAATTCTTTATTATCGTACTTTAAAATTAAACTAAAGTCAAGCCTATAGGCTGGGAATCAAGTTACAGTTGACAGTTACTGTCAAACGGTAACCATAATAACATTTAAAATTTTGCCGTTATTACAAAAGTTGAAATTGGAGAGGGAAAATATCATGCTTTTAAAGGTACGCAAAGTTAATAAATTTTCTTTAAGTAAATCAAAATTCTAGGAATTGAATTTTCTTCTCGAGTAAACATGAAAGTTCCTTGGACATCATCGAGTCGACAAAAGGAAAATCTAAATAATTTAAAAGCAATTAAATATAGGTGCGACGAATTACTTTGCAGTAGGGTTTTTGAAAATCAAGATGATCTTCTAAACCACCTTAAATTTCAAAATCATAAATTTCCTGAAATTAGACAAACTATAGGTGATGTTGCTAGAATGGAATTTTTAAAACAAAAAGATGTTTTAACTGCAACTAGTTCAACAATATCTACCGTCAATATATGCCCAAATCGATGACTTTCTGCCAAAGTATCGCAAGCAACATAACTCAAAGTTTGGGAATTGAAAACAATTTTTGTTTTAAAGTCTGTTTTAAACCATATATACCCTATAGGTTTAATAACAAGTAAATAGCTATAATTATAAGCTTTTTGCTTGTTATAAAACCTTTAGGCTATATTTAATTTAAAACAGACTTTAAAACAAAAAATGTTTTCAATTCCCGAAATTTGAGTTATGTTGCTTGCGATACTTTGGCAGAAAGTCATCGAAATGAAGAAGATAAAAATACGTTTTTACGAGTATATGCAAAAGGGTTCGGAAGGCGCAAAATTAAAAAATAACGTTATAATGAAAAACAAAAAGATTTTGTTGGCAACCTTTTTGAAGAAGGTAAAAAAACTAAAATTAAATATACGCCTGAATATATAGCAACAGCTTTACAAAATTATGAAGTAAATGGCAAATTTTAGTTTTCTTCAAACGAGTATATGCATCCTAATCAGATACGCGGCTTATTATCAAGATTATCGTCAGATAGAAAGTTAAGCAAAAATAGAAAAAGAAAATTAAAAAATTTGCCGGAAGAAATTGAAAAAATTAGCCCAGAAGCGGATGAAGTTTTTTTGAAGTTTTATCAGTTTTAAAGTAGTTCCTTTGCGGCCTAAGTAACTTTTAAGTTATAAATAACTCTGGTTAAAATCTCTAGACTGATTCTGAGAATCGCTCTAGATATTTGAACCAGCCAGTATGATATAAACCAGGGTTATTTATAACTAAAAAGTTAGCGAATATACCCCTTAGAGCCCAACAAGTTTAAAATTTAATGTAAAGGTAATAATTATTATTATTATAATAATTATTAAGATATATCTTTATTATTTAATATATGCAAATCTTGCAGATAAATTGTTATATGTTAAATAATAAAGAAATAGTAATATCAATAATAATAATAAAGAAAAACATAATAAATAAAATAAAGAACAAACCTATTAAATAAATAAAGGAATACGTAACTCTTTATAATAAAGGAATACATATTATCTGAAATGCTATATAGTTTTTAAAGAAAAAAGGCTGCAGCGCCCCCTGGGTGTGAAAAAATAAAACTTTTTTTTGCTGTGTTATTGTTACCGATATAAGTAATCTCCTGGAATTCCTTAGTTAATAAATAAGAATAAAGTTGTAAGTGTAATTCAATTTTTTTTAATGCGGTAAACAAAACTTTAAGTTGGCTTTACGGGCGGCAACATCATTTGCAAGTAAATTTTTATACATCAAATTATAAAGGAATATGTATATTATCTGGTATACTATTTAGTTTTTTTGAGCATTGTTGCTTAAGAGAGTTTTTGGTCTTCAAAAAACGTCTATTTTTGAAGAAGAAAAAGTTGCAGCGCCACCTATATATAAAAAATTTAATTTTTTTTTTGGTAGAATTGTAGGTACTAATAAGGGTCATTTATGGACCACATCTCAAAACATTCAGTATTTTAATAAAAAAATTATTCTAATATAATGAAATTATGGCTTTTTGCGAAAGGTAAAATTAAATGGTCTCTGGGAGCCAAAGTTTAGGTCAGATAAAAGAAAAATTTTAGATTTAGGGTGGAATTGGATGTATAAACACAATATTAAAATATAAAAAAAATCTGAGATGTGTTATAAAAAAATACCCCAAAATCGTTCGATTCTTTCGCGAAATCATAGTTAAGGAAAACTCTCATTTAAAACTCCACAAAATAGAAACCCAATTTTGGCTCTCAAAAACTTTTATTGGTTTCACAAATTAATTTTATAAATTTCAGGTGGATTAAGATAAATAAATTATTATTTTACTTTTATTTAACAGAATAATATTAATAATAAAAAAATTTAAATATTTTTTTTGTATAGAAAAAAACCATAAATACAACATATTAGGGATACCATTTCATATTAGGTTACTTTCCTCTACTAATGCATATAACTAAAAATACGATTTTAACAAAATGCTTGTGTTTTATTTAAATCACCAAGTTACCTACTATTAATCAAAAAAGCAGTAAGACCATAGAAGGGCTGAATGAACAGATTGAGTTTTAATTATTCAAGAGATTTCTTCAACATAAAAGTCGTATGTGCCCCACATTCTCATTTTACATATTTTTTTATTTATATTTTCATGTCGATAAACGTTATGGCCTACATTTTTTAGAATCACAGGTATACTGCAAGTCTTTTCTTTAACAAATTGATATATAAAATTACAGAAAAACTTGAACTAATATTTTTGATTGTGTAAATCTATTACTTTAAGAGTTTTTATGGCGTTGTGGAAGGGCTCCGAAAGGTCGTAACCTCTTTCCGGTCTTTAAGTATAAGTCGCAATCACTTAAACGGATTTTTTGTGCGTTTCCGAAATATATTACAACGTGTTTTATTGCTTTTTTACGAACGAAACCTATAGTTACAACTTTTACGTACCAATCCGCAAAACAAATAAAATTTATTGGGTGATATATTCATTCGTTGCATTGTGTGAATTTTTAAATGTCTGTTAGGTTTTTAATGTAATCATATTACAAAAATATATGTATTCATAACAAATATTTTTTACATTCTGATGTCTCTCTGATAGGCTGACATGATAATCTGCATATTGCTGACGCGTCGTTATGTATCTAAAAATAAAATCCAAAAGGATGGCAGAAAATCAATGTTACCATGTATTTTAAAATATTAAATATTAAAGTCAAAATTGTCATACATAAAATATTTATAAAAAAATCTACTTACTGAGATATTACACTTCACGGTGGATGAGTTTTTAAATAGAAAATTAATGAACTTAAACTTTTGAATTATAAAACAGCAACACTCTCATCTGCATATAAATTCTAACTGACCTTCAGGAATCACATGCATCTATAATGTCGTAAACAGAGGTTTTTACTTATTTAAAATGATTAAAGCGCCATCCGTTGCATAAAATTTAAAGCAAAAACAGATTCACGGAGAATAGAATCAATTTACATAAATGGTTATAAAAATTATTTCTTTTAATTTTTAATAATATTTTATATTTGATTCGATTGCTTTGGATGTGTTTAATTTACTTAGCAAACTGATATTTTTAGTATGCTTTTACTACCTCAGATATTTGAAAACATATAGGTTAACCTAGAAAAAGTAACAGTCACGGAGGATAGGTTATAGACCCAATAAAAGTGTAGGTCAAACTCATTTGGTTTTATTAAATATCAATGTATTCTTGACTTATTTTATTTGTTAGGTAACAAAAGCAATAAAAATGCATAAAAAGTCACGAAATGCGCATAAAATATAATTTCCGTAGTTTTCTGCCGTAATTATTTTTGTAATTTAGCTATATGCACCCAATTTAAAGTTTTATTAAGGCTGTGCATTGTTAATGCAAAACATTCCTTAGCCGTAAAATAAATATAGCAATTGTTTGAATAAAATAGGTCAGAGTAGCATAAAATAGCTATTAGAATGTATTTCTATTAAATCCTTAGATATCAGTTTAATAGACCATGAAATCCCGTTGGATAAAATAGTGGGATTTAAATATTGTTGTTAATTTTTTTAATTTTAAAATGTCTTTCAAATGACAAAAGATGGCAGGGACAAATTCATTCTCTTAATATGTAATATATTATTGTTATAAACCAGTTATAAAACCAACAATTTGAAAACTGTTTAAAAGCAATTTGTGTGTATTTGTTTCCGCAGGCCAAAATACAGGGTTTTAAGAGGGAAAATTATGATTTAATTTTCTTGTGAAAAAAAACGCTTAATAAATTCCGAACAGCGAAAGTTTGGCAGCATGTTAAACCAAAAACGCTCTATAATTGCGTATTTATGTTTTATTCATCTTGAAGTTACAATGGAATACCAAATTACCTATTTGCAAGTTAAACATAATCTTGCCATCAAATGGAAATTATTTATGCAACGATTTTAAAAAGTTATCCAAAACCAATATACGATGTCTTAAAAACAAAATACCAAAAATTATGGTAAACCATTTTGCACTTTATATACAACATAATTTAAATTTATGCTGGTGTTGACAAAATTTAATGTATCGCTTTTGCTTTGGTAAACATTTAGGATTACGATGTAGTAAAACAATACAATACATTATGATTTTATTATTTAATAATACTAATAATAATAATAATAAGATTATCAGTTGGTGTAAAAGTGAAATCAATCAAAATCATTCATATTCGTTAATAATATATTAATAACTTAATACTGTTAATAAAATTCTCATTTACTATAATGAAGCAACCATGGTGAGCTTTTATAAAAAAAATGTTCATCCAACAAAGTAATAGTTGTTATTATATTGTCAAGGCAATAAGAAATACATTATGTTTATATTAAATCTTTGGCGAACTTAAAATGTTTTTGTTAAATCTATAGTTTTGTGTGATTTGCTCCTACATAAACTAATGCGCAGTTGATATAGTAAAACTTGTTCATTTAACTATGGCATATTTGTCTTTTTTAAATTACTATCGTTATAATTCAAATTAATTTGATTTCAGTTAGAAAATCTTTGTTAATAGCTTACGTTAAGAACAATAACAAAAATATTTTATTGCTATAAAAAGACTTTTTTAATATACTATTGTTTTGCAATGGTAACAAAATTTTTGTTATTTCCCTTAAAAAGGGGGGTGAAAGGGCCAGCGCTCTCCTTGGTGAACATAACTTTATAATCCACAGTCTGGTTTATAATCCTATTGATTTCACTTGTTTGAGTGAAGTGTAGTAAAATCTAGCATGATAAAAATATCAAAAAGATCACTAAGAAAATTAAAATTTCGACGTTTTTTAAAAGAAATATTTAAGGTCTATTCTATAAACGAAGCAGACTGGTTGTTTAAAAAGTGAGTTCATATTTTTTTTTATTTTGTACATTATATAATAAGAGTTAATTTTTTTGTTATATTAAATAATTTGTTTTAATGCCTTGCAATTATTTAAAAAAAAAGTACCCAACACCCAGCAGTAGGGTTAATTTGTTGTTAAATTTACATAAATTTTATTAATATTAAAAAAAAGGGATTTGTAAAATTTGTAAAAAGTTTTTGTAAAGGGTATAGAACTGTTTTTTGAACAAATAATAATAACTATATTTACCAATGCGTTTCTGCATCTGGAAGAGTGTTATTTTTATAAACACAACGTAAATTTACTGTATAATTAATGAAAATGCTAGTACTGAAAGCAGCGTTTGTAACCTAAAAAAATCCCGTTCAGATTACTAAAACATAATCTTTAAATTTTCCTTATGGTTATAGAAACTGGATGGTAAATTTAAAGTGTTATTTTTAGTTTATAGTAATCTTAAAAAAATGTTGATGATTGAATACAACTAATTGTTTAAACAACAAGTTTACAAAAACGATATTTTACTTAGATTTTGGTTTATTTACATAGAATGTTAGTTATTTAACCAGGAGAACTTATTAAGAAATTCTCTATTAATTAATTAATCCCGGCGCATCCGCCATTTTTGAAAATTAAACTTTTCTCTAAAATTCCCACATTGGATAATCCCCAAATATTTGATTGAAATATCTAAAAGTTTTACATGAAATTTAAAATTTACTTCAATATTGAATAAAACAAAACGCAAAAAAGTTTGGATGGAAGGCTTTCAAAAGCATTATTGATATCATTAATTATTATTATGAGAGTCCTATTTAACCCGGAAATCTCATAAAAAACGGTTATGAAACGGTCAATATTATATGAGTCGATAAATTTTATATACCGTTTAATAAAAGCGACCATAGAGGAAAGAAGATTAAATGTTTTTAATGAGGTTCTTTACTTTCCCATGAATATATTTACTTGCCACTTTTATGTCGGAATAAAGGTTTATTGGGATTTAAAACCACTAGTTTTTATGTAAAATACTTTTTTTACTCCCACCCTTAAAACGCCCACGCAACACGTTTTTAGTCACAAGCTGAAGTTAGTTTTAAGTTAGTTGACAGTTGTCAAATGTCATACAATCGTTAAAATAAATTCCCTTTCTTTATCTCAATACAAAAATACAAGTATTAAATAGTTTCTCATCGCCAATATTTGAAAAGTTTATATGAACATTGTACTGACCTTTTAATTTTGCCGGCACTAAACTATAACTTAAATTCGGGCACGGACTCCACTGTAAAGTCCTCATAAAACATTTTCTTTACTTTCACTGTGAAAAACTGTCAATTTTCAAGAAATACATTTTGATTTATAACCTTTATAATCTGTGTTTATAAAATATAAAAATGTGACATTTGACGGTGACACACATATTTCCCTATTGTTTCATAGATGGCGCTCTATACAAATTTTTGATTTAAATCATTTTAAGATAATGATAGGGATTTTTCGTAGAAAAAGTATAGTATGCACCTCGTTTATAAACTTTTCTATACACTCATTAATTTAAATTAAATTCGGGTATAAAATGGCGTTTATCAAACTTGATACATAATATACTATTTTATGTATGAAATTTTTTATATTTGAAATATATTTATTTTAAACCTTAAATTCTCAGCATTCCAAAACAGAAAATGTGGCCAAGTAACCGTACTTGTTAAATGATAAATCTCCCTTAAAGTTTCCATTACAAAGCCGTTGCAATGCCCTGCACAGATTTACTATAACTTTAACACCGGACTATAACTTTTAACTTAAATGCTCTTTGTTATAACAGACAAAACAATACACTCTAAAAGTACGTTAGTTACTGTATTCGACAACTTAAATCCATATAATGTTTTGTTCTCTAAAT